CAACAAAGAGCCCCAGAATTTAAAATGGGTGATATAGAAAAACTAATAAAAGAAGCAAAAAGAATACAGAAGTAGCACAAAGAAAACAAAAATTGTATTATGACTTGAAACGACGGGGAGTAACTTATAAAGTAGGGGATGAAGTACTAAAAATTAAGCATTCACTTTCTTCAGCACCAGAAGATAAAACTGCCAAATTTTTCCCACGCTTTGAAGGACCATATGTTATAGAAAAAATAACTCACGCTGTTGTAGTATTAAAGGCAAGAAATGGTGAAACCTGTTCCGCAAACATTGACCAGATAAAACCATTCTATGACCGTAATAAAATGCAAATCTTTTCAGATCTTTTGCAGGATCCGGGACGGCAGACACCGCAGGTACAAGTTCCAGAGGTGGGAAAACGACAAGTACAAGGGCAAGCCAATGAGAGACAGAAGCAAGTGAAAAGAAAATTGCCCCGCAGAAAAATTGAAGGTACAAAGAAAAAGAAGCCGTTCCATCCATCCACCGTCCAAAAACAGAGTTCACGAACACCCCCAGAATGAAGAAGGGAGAAGGACGACGTATGTGGAAAAGACCGGGAGAAAGGACGGCAACTATAACCCGGCTGTGAAACGGAAGATTGACTCATCCATCCGACAGAACTCTCCGCAGCAAAAGTCGCTGAACTGCGGAAGGGCCATCAGCGGCGGAGGAAAAAGTACAAGAAAAATTTGAACGGCCAACAACGAGGTCCAAGCAGGATCACGACAGAAGTTTCCCCCGGTTCCACCAAGACCAGCTGCCTTCAAACGGCCAAGACCACAAGCAGAGGACAGAAGGAAGATGTTCAAGGGTGGCCGTAGTGGTGAAAAACGGAAGCTTCCAGAGGAAAGCACTGAAGGGCGAGCCCGTACAAGAAGGAGGATCAACCAAGCTACGGTCTGCAGCACCTTTAAAGACTGGGCCCAGAAAAGGATGTCTGAATATTACAAAGATAAGTAAAATTTTATGTTACTTTACAAACTTAAGTTAATCTTTCATTCTTACTGCAAGTGGCAGATATCAAGAAGTTTTACCTCATGCGAGGTGTACCTTTATCGCCAAAAGGGCGAGAAATGAGTTGTGACCGATTTTCTTATTATGTTTTTCAATTACTCGCGCATAAAACTAAAGTTGATGTATAATAGCGTTGTATAAAGACTTAAATATTGTAAAAAGTTATTGTATAAATTTTATTTAAAACATTCTAACAAGAAAGAAGTTTTAGTCTGAAAGACTTTTTGAAATGTAGTATTATTTCAATGTAGAAAGAATTGGCACTTGCTTTGAAAAGAATAGAAGTTAACAATGTACTACTAATGTATGTTTTCAAATGTGTAAAATTAACGGCATCTTGATATGTTCTTGTATACATGTGAACTGTTATTTTGAATGTTTAGAAATAACCGTGATATGGTAAAAGTGAAAGTAATGTTAAAAAATTTGTTATTCGTGTGACTGTAAAGATTAAATCATGGTGAATATGTGTTAAAGGTTGAATGATGTAGTTAGGCTCTCTGACGCTACACTTTAGAGTTAGCCACTTTCAGAATAGTACCTCAGGGTCTAGAGTTGAAATTAGGGTGTGTTAAGAGGTCTCGTATGTTGAATTTTAACACATTAGTGTTTTGATTGTAGGAGGAAGTGTTGAACACACATAGACAGAAACACACATTCGTGTTTGGTGTTTTTTACAACACATGTCAGAGAGCACGGGGAGAGATAATTAAAATAGTCATGAATGAAATAAGAATGTTAAGAAAAGTATATTCTATATGTTATTTGCAATGTCATTCTGTAACATTTCATTAAACTAGTTTTCCTTCCAGATCTCTGGAAGGAACCAGAATTGAATAAAGCTCCTGTTTTGATGCAGTACAGATGAAAAAGAAAAAAGATTGTTGTATATTCCGAGAGCTGCTATTGTAACAAATTTCTTTCTTTCTTTTAAAATTTTCTAGTTTCTAGCTAAGTTATGTTTGTAAAAGTTTGGCCTCGCGTTAGTTTCTAGAGCTAAAAGTTTTCAACAAGGTCGTTTTAGACCTCAGTTTCAAACTAATTAACTCTGGCGGGAAGTATGTAAGGATCTTAAGTTTTACTAACGTTTATTTTATTTTAAATCTTTACTATCACTTCTTATTTTCTACTTCCTCCGGCCAGAATTATAAGCGTGAAGGAGTTTATGCAAAGTTGTCTGGCGAACGCCAAGTATTTAAGTGTGGCCTTTTTGCCAAGCAGAGAAGAGAGGAAGCCGTGAGTTCGAAGCAGGCCGCTTACCTTAGAAGTTACGCAGTTGCTACTTTGCCTTCCAGGCCAGAGGTTTTAATCCTCTTGATAAATTAAACGTATTGTAGTGTTCACAGTCTCTGTGCTACATACGCTTTCCTGTTATTATAAGGCCAATCTTATTCTAAAGTTAAATTAGAGTTTAGTTTTATTTTGATATCTTTTAAGTTAGACCCCGAGTGGAGGGTCATTGTATTCCGAAGTACGGAAGTCATTGTATATAAAGAAAAAAATAAAGGGTTTTGTATACCCTTCGTCTGTATCCTGTCTACTTACTACAATTAGTGAACATAGCTTTAGTAAGCTCTCTGTTCTAGTCAGGTCATTGTATGTTTCCGAAGAAGGTTAGAAGAAACATTGAACCTGATACTACTAATTTGCACCAAGTTGCCAGACTAGACATCCATAGGAGATAATGTAACTGGAGCTTGTGTAATGTCCATATAAGATAAGACTACCACTCACAGCTATCTCAGACTATACCCTTTCTGGATGACTCTCTTATAAATTTCAAAAGATGTGTACAAGTATTTTATTTCTTTTATCCAACAGCATGAAATAGTTTAATAAAATAGTATGAAATAGTAATTTGGTCTAAATGTCAGTGTAATTCATCCCAGAGATGCTTGATGGATTTAAGCTCAAAGTTTTTGCATACCCAATATAATTCAATCATTCTCATTTTTTCAACTGGACTATGACTTTTTTACTTTATGAACAAATAAACTGTTGTGTTGAAAATGGTAAGGCGAGATCCAGTATGTTTCCACTGGTTGAAACACGAAATTTTCCAGTATAAGGAGACTTCATTTTTTCAGGGTTTGAGGTACAGTGGACCAAATAAAAAAGTGAAGGCCTAAATATAATTCCTTTTCCACAAGATTATAAGTAGAAACAGTGATAAGTAATTCTCACATTTTGTTTACTAAATCCATACTCATCCATCAGAAACTACAGTCAAAAGTCTTTAATCCGGACTCGTCGGGACTTCGGCAATTCTGGATTATAGATCATCAGTTTAATCTGGTAAGATGGCATGCAGAAATTATAAAATTAAAAATATGAAATCGTAATTTATGAAATAAAGAACAATTATGATCTAAAGGGTATCAAAATTTACAAAAAAAAAAGCTTAATATTTATTTGTTTACTTTATTAAACATTTCTTTCAATGTAATTTATTTAAGCTACTTTTTTATGTAATAATACATACTTTCTCTTTAATTCTATAAACAGACATAATTTCTTGTTCAGTTACCAAGTTCCGCTGTTCAAGTCCTATAATTGCTGTGTCGAGAATACCGACTAATTTGTCAATCGAAATTTTTTCATTTTCAATAACCTCTGTGTCACTTTCTTCACTATCGGAACGAATATTAATGCTGAGGAATTTGATTTAAATCATATCAAAGACGAAGTACATCGAGATGAAATACTACATTTAGTAAGGAATTATAAGCCAAATAAAATAAAAACATCTGCCCTGAAGATAAGGATAGTGCTGACAGATCAACTTCCAATTCATTGCGCGCCATGGCGTTCCCCTCCCCCCGCCGCAGAGCAGTGTGAAATTGATAAACAGATTTTGGAATGGTTAGAGAAACAAAGGATATGCCTTTATCCATTTTTTGCAGCAATTCCACTTTTTGTTTAATGGACATCGAAACATACTTTCGCTTTGTAGATCCTTTAGCAACTCCAGAATCGGAAATTCTATTTAACATAATCGAAAGTTCAAGCTTACTTTTATAAAATTTCTCTCACAGTCTGCGAAAAATAATAAGCCGGATCCAATTAGAAGATTACGGAACAACACAATCTACAACATTAACTGAAATAGATAATTAGATAATTTTAGCTTAGCTTATACCATTCATTATACATTAAACGTGCATGTGTAAATGTATTATGCGCATGCCTAAAAGTATTACGCACATGCGTAAATGCTAATGCTGATTGATGCACAGAAAGTTTGTACCTTGGAGGTCCAGATTATAGATCATTCCGGATTATGGGTGCCCGGATTAACAACTTTTTCTGTTCTACCTGTAATGAGTTGCGTCACTGCACATGGTGCTCTTCTTTTATTCTAGAATCTATGGAGACATGCTTTTCATCAGACATGCTGGTGTAAGGCTCTCCATTTTGTGATCATTGCCTTGTAAGGTACTGTTGTCTAAAGAATCCATATGTAAATACCTTTTGGTAAATAGTACAAATATTGTCATCACTTCCAGATGGCGGTCTGTATCTGCCATGATTTTTGGTTTATGTAATTTGGGTTTTACACTTCATTTTTACCGCCCTGTTACACTTCCTTAAACTTCCTGTTTCATCGTTACATTGCTCATTATTACATATGGTAACTGGGGCCAAAAATCTCATGGATGGAATGACCAAGTTGGTGGGCACCAGTCAATCATGTTCCTTTTGGCCTTACTTAGCTCCTTTTGAATATTGCACCTGCTATACATTTCTGTGAGCACTCATTGTCTATAGGTTTAATGTACCTGAATATAAGGTATGCTTGCAAGATTATATAGACTGTTATATAAGCTGTTAAGATGTTATTATATAAGCTTATTGTGAAGGTTTTGTATAAGAAAGATAATTAAATGTCTAAATACCAGACCTTGAGATAAAATAAGTAACTGTGTTTACGTTTAATACAGAAGTTATTATCTTTACAGATTTCCTTGTGGACGATGGTTAGGTAAGGGAGTCGATGATGGGAGCACTGAACGTTTATTGGTTGGAGAAATGGTGCCTAGAGACCAAGATACAGAGGGTAAATATTATATTTAGGTTGCTTTCTACATATTTTTACCGCCCTGTTACACCGCCCTGTTAATTCCTTAAACTTCCAGTTTCATCGTTACATCGCTCATTATTACATATGGTAACTGGGGCCAAAAATCTCATGGATGGAATGACCAAGTTGGTGGACACCAGTCAATCATGTTCCTTTTTGTTTAATGTAAACATTTTGTGTGTTTATATGAAAGCTTGAGGGTTTCTGTTATATTTAATAAATTTTTAAGAATCTTGTTTAATAATTAAAAAATTTGGTACTGTGAATTGTGCTAAAGCTGAAAGTTAGTTTTTATTATGAGTTGTCAGAAGTATAATCTTGTAAAGATTTCTTGTGCAAATTTTTAAAAACGTTAACCTTGTAATATTAGTGTACTTTTGAAATTGAAGGAGAAAAAATTAAACCTTGGAAAATTTGGATTTGCAATATTTATCAACAGTGCAGCTACAGCTGTGTGTGTGTGTAAGTGAGTGATTGAGTGAGGTAATAATTGAAAAGAAATAAAAAAATATAAGAGGAATTTTTTAACTGTCAGTTAAATGCAGTAAATCTATATGCAAGATGAAAGAATGCAAATAATAATCAATTATACGATGGTATAAAATATAACATTTTGAAAGAAAATTCAATAGTAAAAGACAAGTAAAACTAATAAAAAAAAACATAAAAATGGGGGCAGCAAAACACATAAAAAAGCTTAATCTTTTGTCCCAGCTTGCCTAGTAAATAAATTGCCAGTTCTCAGAGTTGCCATCTGACATGACATAAAACTTTTAACGTAGTTTTTAAATTATAATTGCATAAACTGAACAGTTTAAAATCCATAAATTTGTTTTACATTTATTCATATTTCTTATAATATATCTAATTGATGTACCAAAGATTGGAAATCCAATATTCGAAATGATCTAATATCCAGATGTCCTGACTTGTTTTCTTACAAAGTCTAGGAATGGAAGAATGTACAGGATAAAGCAGGTGTGGCATAAAAGTAGTTTTTAAATTATAATTGCATAAACTGAACAGTTTAAAATCCATAAATTTGTTTTACATTTATTCATATTTCTTATAATATATCTAATTGATGTACCAAAGATTGGAAATCCCATATTCGAAATGATCTAATATCCAGATGTCCTGACTTGTTTTCTTACAAAGTCTAGGAATGGAAGAATGTACAGGATAAAGCAGGTGTGGCATAAAAGTAGTTTTTAAATTATAATTGCATAAACTGAACAGTTTAAAATCCATAAATTTGTTTTACATTTATTCATATTTCTTATAATATATCTAATTGATGTACCAAAGATTGGAAATCCAATATTCGAAATGATCTAATATCCAGATGTCCTGACTTGTTTTCTTACAAAGTCTAGGAATGGAAGAATGTACAGGATAAAGCAGGTGTGGCATAAAAGTAATTTTTCACCCAACTGAGTTCCCTGTATGTGCATTTCAAGCACTTACTGGCTAGGGAATCAAACTGTGGCAAATGACAGTACACTGATTGACATTATACTATTTGGCATTTGAGTGATTGTAGGGAGTTGATGTTTTTCTATAAGACCTAAACATTGAGTGATTGTAAGGGTTTGACATTTTTCTATAAGACCTAAACATTAAGTGAAGCCCCAAGAATTATTTATTTGGAGTTTGGTGTTCCTCATTCTGGTTTTCTTTTGTTGGTTTAGCAGCAGGGAAAGGAGAAGGAATTAAATTCTGACCAACTTAAATTCAGTTAGTATAATAAATTATACTCATTTTTCTTACTTGATCCAGCGTATAATTTTTTGCTGGCTATTATTATTATTGCTACCATTTAAAAATTTTAAGTTGAATTCTCAATTAATCTGGTGTTGTTTCTAATCCTGGTGTTGCAGCAAGTTTCTACCAAGTGAAAGCATTTTTCAGTGTCAATTAAGTAGTGGAATTACTGTAAAAAAAAAATGGATAAAAGACATATCCATTGAGAATAACAAAACAAAAACAAAAATCATTCATTATGCTAAAAGTGACAACTATGGCTAAGTTGTGATGAAATTGATGTTACATTGTCACAGTAACTGTGTGTCATTTATGGAACCAGTATTAATGACTCAAGCCAAAATATTTAATGGAAAAATGGATTGAAAAACGGAAGTGCACATATTCTGCAGATTGGCTAACCAAATTTGAAGGTCATCATGATATAAGGCAGTTATAATTTCATGCAAAAAAAAAAAAAAAAAAAGCTTTAGTTGATATTGAAGCATATGAACAGTTTGCAGATGAATTTGTCAATCTCATTTAGAGTGCAAAGTTAACTCCCTAAGGAATTTAAAATGCAGTCAAAACTGGTAATTTTCAACAGTATGTGCCCCAGAATACCTTGGTGACCACAGCAGCAAAGGTTGCAGCTAATGCCAAAAATTATAAATTAAAGATGAAGGATTTTAGCATGTGCAAATGCTGCAGGAATATACAAATGTAAACTTTTCCTTATTGGAAAAAATGCACAACCTTGGAAACTTAAGGGAGTAGAGATTTTCCCTATAATCTGTTATTCAAATACAAGAGCCTGAATATCACAGATGTTGATGAATGAATTGTTTGAAAATACCAGAGGCTCAGTAACATTTGAAATTGGTTGGTTTACCAGTTAATTGAAAAATTTTATTGATTATAGATGAAAGGTTTCATTCATATTTTTCACTTGGGAATTTTAGTAAAAGATAACATCTCTGTCTAATTCTTAACTCCTTTAAGCAAAAGATGATTATGATTAGAAATAATCTAGTAAAATAGTAGGTCACTATTAGGTAAATAGTGAATAATTCAAGTTTTTATAGGATTAAAGTAAATTAATGTATAGAATAAGAAACATATAATGTTAAAATAATGGTCTCAAAATGGTGATTGAGTTGAATTAAAATAATGACCAATTCAAGTTATAGAATGAGAAGCGGTTAAATATTCATGGGATGAATAGAATGGGAAGGAAGTAAATAGCAACTAATTTAAACTTGCAGCTGATGATTAACATAACAAAACAGGTTCAAGTAATGAATAGGCTGAAAAATAAATATCCAGTGAATAAGATAGTATGTATGAAAAAAAATGTTTAAAGGTGGTGTTTTTTTTTTTTTATTATTATTATTATTTATTTATTTATTTTGATACTTGTTAGATCAGTGTTTCTCAACTGCCAGTCCGCAAATTTGCTGGTTATTTTTATCTTCATGATTTATTTATGTGAAAAAATTGTGCCAATGGGTCAAATTACAGTGACTACCAATAAGTATTTGGACACCTGTGCAAATGACAATATCTGCGGTCCTAAGGTAGGTCACAGACTCCGCCGGTATATATCATGTAGGAAACAGCATCGGCTTTAGTCGCATGCAAGATGCCTTGCAGTTCGGAGCCTCTGATTTCGAGAAAGGTATAATTATCGGGTATCACAAATGTGGCCGATTCTTAAGGGACATATCTAGCGATCTGAAGTACCCAAAATCGACAGTGGCCTATGTGATTAAGAAGTGGAAGGTGAGCGGTGATTGTCGGAATATGCCCCAAATCGGCAGACCAACGAAACTGGGAGATAGAGACCGACGAGTGCTGTCCAGAGAAATTTGGAAGAACCGCACCCAACCGATGGCCCTTATCGGTGAGGAATTTCAACAGGCATCCAGGAGTATTGTTTCAATGAATACCATCCATAAGGAAGCACATCTGCTTGGTTTTCATGGTCGTGCTACTGCCCATAAGCCTTTGATCACAAAGTTCAACCGCGCTGCTCGGTTAATGTGGTGCAAAGCACATCGAAATTGGACCGTAGATCAGTGGAAACGGGTTCTTTGGAGTGACGAATCAAGGTTCACTCTTTACCATTTGGATGGCAGGGTCTGGGTCTGGCATCTACCTGGAGAACGTCTCCTGCCAGAATGCATTGTGGCAACAGTCAAGTTCGGCGGAGGTGGAATTATGGTCTGGGGGTTTTTCTCCTGGTATTTGCTGGGACCCTTGGTCTCCATTCATGGTAAGCTCAACTCCGATGCCTACTGCACTATTTTGGATGACAATGTGCTTCCTATGTTGTGGCAGTTTTACGGGTTGGACCCCTGTTACTTTCAGGACGACAATGCCAGTTGTCATATTTCGATGTTAACCAAGGCTTGGTATGGTGCCAATGGAGTTCATCGAATGGACTGGCCTGCCCAGAATCCAAACCTGAACCCTATCGAGAACCTGTGGGACGAGTTGCATCGCCGAATTCACGGGTGCACTACCTGTGCAAAATCGGTGAAGGGACTTCTATGTCTTCTCCAAGCCGAGTGGAAGAAAATACCACTAGCTGTTATACAAAGACATCTATGTCTTCTCCAAGCCGAGTGGAAGAAAATACCACTAGCTGTTATACAAAGACTTCTATGCCTTCTCCAAGCCGAGTGGAAGAAAATACCACTAGCTGTTATACAAAGTATTGTGGAAAGTATGCCCCGGAGGATCCATGCTGTAATTACCTCTCATGGAGGCTCTACCAACTATTGATTTTGAATAAAGTTAGTTTTTCTTTTCTATCACAGGTTCCAAAACTTATTGGTAGTCAGTGTACCTTAAACTTACCAGTCTTACGACTGTCGCGAAAGACCGAATCGTTATTGGTAGTCAGTGTATTAAACTTACCAGTCTGCGAGAATGTACCGAAATATTTTACCGGCCCTTGGAGGAAATCCAGTTGAGAAACACTGCTTTAGATCATAAATGTAGTAATAAATTACTAAAATCCCTAGAGTATAAATTTTCTTGTTCTGAGAATACCTATCCAGTAAATTTAGTTTAATGAGCTATTTCAGGAACAAGGATTACCCATAATATGTAATGTTAATATATAAAGCTTTCAAACTTATTAATTTATGTTAATCAAATTAATCTAATTCTCAAATTGAGAAAGCTGTATTTGAATTGTAGCTGTACGTATACTGTATATGAATAAAACTCTTTTTTTTTCTTTTTATTCCTTGTGAAGTCTTGAAGTAAAAACTTGTGAAGTAACAAGTGTTGACTTAGTTCCTTTGACTGCATGAATATTGCGTGTATATGAAAAGCATATACCACATTTGAGCATCTAAATTAACTTGATTAGAACTTTATTTAACACTCAAACTAAATCTTTCATAATCAGCTCCTTATTGCTTCCATGCCATAATAATAGCAACTATTCTGCATTTATAATTATTGAAAGTTATTATTTTGCTTCTAAAATATTCAGACAAAACTAACCATTCTGACAAACAAAACTAACCATTCTGACAGATTAATTTTTTGAATTTAACATCTTTCTTTCATCTAATTTATTATGTTAAATTAAAAATCCATTGAATTAGAATCTGTTAAGCTGAAATTTACTGTTAAGGAAAATTCTCTCTGCTACATAGCTTTTAATTTACTGTATATCATACACTACATGTAAATTAAAATTTTAATAAGGAAACATCAGAATAAAGTTATATAGTGTAAATAAACAAATATTGTAGTCTGTATTTTTTGTAATATTCCTGATATCATTGAATGAAAATCTTGATTCTTTTTTTGAACATAATATTTTATAAAAATTGGTGTATTATGTATCTCTTTCATTTTTCTACAGAACTAATGGAAACATGTCGCACACCCCCGCGATGCAGGTCTCCTAGCGTCCCTCGAAGACCAAGTGAGCCTAGTATGTTTCTTTCATGCATGCAACACTGGTGGTTCTATTTTTATTTGCTCTACAACCTTTTTCTTTCTTGTTTTAGAACTCACTGTGCCTGAAATACAACAGATGCTAGGGGATGCTGTTAACAACATTGTAAAGTACTATTATAAATCAGAAAAAGAAGTAAGTTTTGTAGTGTTTCTTTTTTTAAAACATGCATGACATTTAATTTGATTTAAGTGGTGAGTTTTATTTGGAAATTATGTAAATAATGTTGATTTAAAACATATACTGAACATTCTCAATAAAACTTTTATTTTAATGAAATGTACCAGAAAGAAGTTTTATAATAGAAATAATGATTTTAGAGAATTTTAAGAATTAACTAAGTGAATATTTCATATAATTTGAAAATTATTTAAGATTTAAATAATAATTAGTTAAATGTGTGGAATGTTTTAAAAAAATCTTAAAATCTTTCATAATTTTGAACCGGCAAGAATAACCAAAAAGAAAATGAAGAAAAATTAATATAGATTTCCCTAACTTTATAGAAATAGAGTATTCTTTGGAAACAATAAAGAATAAAGATAGCAAATTCGGTTTATTTTTTGTGTACTCAGTAATGCAAGAACATCTCCGAAATTATTATTGATGATATGAGGGATTTATCTGTAAATAATACGATGCAGATTTAAACACTAATAACATATTTATTCTACTGCAACTAAAATAATATAAGTGCCAAATGCATTAATGTTAATACAAGCATATACAGAAGCTTAATAATAATAATAGAACAAGAGGATCATGGGATATAATAAATATCATGTGATTGATGTAATTGAAGAGCATATGTCTTGGCATGTCTATGGTTACCAGAAGTAAAGTAGAAAAAATATTTATTTCTATTCAAATGCCTGATTAATTTACAACAAAACCTTTCATTAACCAAAGTGTCATAAAGCAAAGAAATGATAAATATTAATTTATATGGAAAAATTTAGATTTTTCACACATCTTTAAAAAAGCAGTTTTCAAGGTCATGCTCCAATGTTCTGAAAACTAAAAATACTAGTAAAAGAACTAACATTGTAAATATATAAGCAATGTAGAGAGAAAAAACTTGTATATTAGTAAATACAACATAATATGTAATTTTTTTTCATGTTCTAGAAATTAGAAAAAGAGCAAACATACTGTAAGCTATAAATCTTATTGTACATTTAACCATCACAGGTTCAATTGTGTAAAATACAAGGCTTGTGTAGTAGAGAGCAGTCAGAGGTTGCAAATGGATTTGTTTTCATCATTTGTGGCCCTAACATTACTGTGTCTATAATGGCTACTTGACCCATTGTTGAATGCTGAAATTTATTTTGCTCTTTCTGATGTGAAAGGTTTGAAATAAGATAGATACTTAGTTGCATACTGTATTTTTTCAACCGCATAGTTTTTTGCAGGAAATTAAAACAGTTTTACAAAAACTGCTTCAGATAGCTGCTTTAAATTTTACCTGTGAGTAAGATATTCCAGAGAAACAAGCATCTCATGCCCTGAGTATTTATTGTCATGGCAATTTATCTTTGAGTTATTTAGAACCACAATTTTGTTATTTAACAGATAAATATCTAAATACTTCCATTCCAAGCTGTAAGTCTCCCTCCCCCTAAAGAAAAGAACTCAATTATTTTCTGACCATTTCTGAGTTTTATAAATTTATTTATTTTTAAGGTAATATATGAAAATGTTCTCAGGTTAATTTAGTGTCCAGGTTATTACTATTTAGCAATATTTTCTATACTTGTTAAGTGCTTGATACTAGTAAAACAAGAAAAATTTAGTAAAGAGAAGTTCTTTCTGATTTTAAGTGTATATATGAATATTAATTAGTATAATTGTATAATTTCTACACGTATAGAAAATAAAACTTTTAAAAATGTGTAGGAAAATTTTTTTTAATATTTGAAAAAAAACATGTTTTTTGTTTTTATCTTTCAATAATTTTCAGTATTTAGTTGTTTTCGAACTTATATTAGAATTGAATAATATGTTGCAAAGAAACTGAAGCTAGCACTTTATTTTCTTGAATTATATTAATACTAGAATTATGGATAACGGCATGCATGTGTTTCCACTATCCATTTCAACTGAATTGGTTTACGAGTGTATCTTAATACATAAGGGAAGAAATTTTTACTTTCAGGCTTATTTTCTGCTTTTAATTGCATTTATAATTCGCCCTTATCTTCAGTTCCTCAAAGATTTTTTTGTAGATGAACACTATGAGTGAATGCTGTTTAGAATAATAGTATTATATTAACTATGTTAACCATGTGGCCAAAACATCTATCTATTGTAATTTTCCCTTATGTATTAAGATACACTCATAAACCAATTCAGTTAATATGGGTGGTAGAAACACATGCATATGCCATTTATCGATAATTCTTGTATTAATAGAATTCAAGAAAATAAACTGCTAGCCTCAGTTTTTTTGCAATACATTATACAATTCTGATGTAAGTTCAAAAACAATCAAATATTGAAAATTATTGAAAGCTAAAAACAAAAAACTTTTTTTTTTCTATTTTCCATATGTGTAGAAATTATAAAATACTAATTAATATAATGATATGAAATAATTTTACTTCAAGACCTTTTAAAAATCTTCAGGGCTTTAACTATTTCTTTATTGTTTAATTATATAAATTTATTTTAAAAATAACAATGAATTTTTCATTAAAAAAAAACCTCCCATAGGAAAGTTGTTAGAGTCTCATTTTTATTCCTAGTACATCTTAATTTGCACAGTAAGACATTAAAGGGAAAGATTCTTGAAAAACATTTCTTAGACTTATTGTTGTACAGTATTGGTAAAGGATTCTGTTTGATGGTAGAGTTAGTTATGTTAAGTTTTAAGAGATCTTTGCTTACATATATTTCATTAAAGATTGAAAGTATATTATAGATTTGGTGGACTGATTAAGTATACTTTGATAATGCTCCTAGTAAAATAGATAATTGTAATGTGACTGCTGGACATGCATGGGATTTAATAACAAAAGAAGAAGAATGTAAATTGTGTGTTAGTAATGAAGATTTGAAAGGCAGAAAGGCTTTTCTGATTCATATATCTGATGCAATAATATCTCTTAAATTTCTAAACAATCTGAAGCAGACATTATATATTTTCCCTTATTTTGCAGCAGATAAAGTATGATTTTCATTGCATGGAAGATTGACTAGCTACTCTTGGAAGTTATTTTTTAGTTTTCAAGATGATTTTAATGCACTGGAGTTTTGCAAACTCTAGTTGACATAGAGCGTAATGAGTTACTGAAAATGTTGAATTTTATGGAATAAATGGTGGGTTATTCACAACTCATAATATTTTTCTGTATATTACTCTAATTAAAGTTGTAGCACAATACAGGACACAGAAAAGTACAACATTTCCTAAAATAATTGTAAAAAGTTAAAAGGAATGGACATAGAAAGCTGAATGACTAGTAGCTCTTGGCAGAAAAAAAAAAAAAAAAAAAAAAGGCTCATCATACTAGTGCAGCTTCATCACATAGGCAGTGGAGAAATAGATCCTCCAAGTAACGAGGCATTCTTTTAGCAGCTTTTAGTTCTTCATATGTCACCTTTTTAACTTCTAATTCTGTTGTCTTCCATCTCTTCATCTTCTAATTCACCTTTGTTTTTATATTCATTCTCTTCCAGTAGTGCAACTATTTTACCAACTCCTAAAACTTCCCAGTTTTATCCTGCCCCATTCATTCTCCAATATTACCATTAGTAACTTCTTTGCAGCCTGGAATTTTCTTCAATAAGTCCACCATCTTGAAACTCCTAAATGGTCCAGCAGTTTTTTTCATAGAACTAAGGCTGATGTGCTAAAATTTATTTCATGATTTAGATATTCATTCTGCTACATCCAACATCTCTTTTCTTCAAGTTATCAATCATTCCACATCCTTCCTCCATGGCTAGTTTATTGATCATTCCACACCTTTCATCCATGACTAGTTTTTCTATCATTCCACACTCTTAATCCATGGCTAAAGCAAGAGAATGAAAGAAGTGTATATTTGTATCTCTTTTTCATGTTTCTAAAATACTGTGGTCCATTGGTTGACATACTGAAGTTGTATTAGTAGGGAGAAACATAGCTGTTATGTCTATGTTTTGTAACTGTTCCACATCAGGATTACCTCAGGCTTTTAGTTCAAGCTTTTAGTCAAGAATGAGAATAGCTGTCTGTAGCAGGTTTATCAGCTTAGAATTTTTTACCTAACAACTGCTGATAAAACCAGTGTTAAAGAATGGCTGCCATGCTTTTGACTGATTCCAGTACCTAACAGATTATGGAAGATGTCAAACCTATCAGTGTACTTTTTTACATTTTTAAATGCCCAGGGATTTTTCCATTTGCTTATGAAACCTAGTTTGAGCTTATGGCTGCCTGTCGCATTGTTACATGCCAAGATTGTAATTTTACTAATTAATTATGTAGCCTGGGGCAGTGTTATTAGATCATACACTTTTGTGAAATTTTTGCTACTCTATCATATTCTTAAATTTATTTGTTAAATGAATTTTCAGCATTTGTTTGAAAAGGAAAAAGATGCAGTGGGTGGCTTCTTATGAAACTTAAGCCCCTTAAATGATGAGCAGAATTAGTATTTTTACTTACTACCAAAAAAAAAAAAAAAAATTTTTTTTATTTCATAAACTATTTAATAATGAAGTGTTATCACAGCACAAAGTTATGCAATGATGCTACTCTTTGTGATTTAAAATTTTTTTAATATATCATAAAATGCTTATATGTTAAAATAACGTATCTACTAAAATTATAATAAATAGATAAAAAATTATGTAGGCTTGAATAGAATTTGGCAATCCTGAAGTCATGAAGCAGATGCAAACAGTTTTCAGCACCATTCACTGGTGTTTTCATGTGTTTGATTGATTGCTTTGTTTAATCTTTAAAGTTTGCCAATAAGCAATGCAACTGAAGGGTATTTTCGAGAATCGCTTCAACCAAAACCAAACATGAAATAGAATGCATTTGGAACTTCTAGGCTTGATACTTAGAATGAAAATATCATTGAAGGAAAATAAATCTGTGCTTACTTTGTACCCTCAACACCCATGCATGATGTTATTTTCCAGCACACACACACACACACACACACAGAAGAAAAAGCATTTTCAATGCAAAATATAACTTTAATTCTCCCTCAGCATTTAATGAAATCTGATGCATAATATGGTGATTTCTTATCAATCCTTTTTTTTATATTAAATATGTCTCTGATAGTTTGATTTTAGGTGCTTGTTTTTGTATTAAGAGATCATTCAAGAATTTATTCTGTTATACATGTATGTCTAGTAAGAAATGGTGCAAATGTGAACACTTCTGTTTTTATAGAGAGGAAGCTTGACAATTTTACTTTGTGGTGAGCTTGGATTAGTCTACTGTTTGGAGCAGGTTTTTTTATATGGGTTCAAAGCAACACGCTTTTTCAGGCATGTGTATTTGTGGGATTTTTTTGGTATGTATTTGCATTATTTTTTAAGTTTCATGTGACATATAAATAAAACTTGTGAATTCTGTTGGCAAAATAAATTAATGAAATTTCAGATTTATAATTTTTTTAGATTGAATTTTAATATTTTGTTTTAAAATTACCTGTTTTGAAAATTCTGATTTAACATTTAGAGAAGGATGCTAATTCCTCTCCTCCTTTCCTTGTTCATAGATTCTTTAATGTCATATTATGCACTAAATAGTTTCCTTTGAAATAAATGTCTTCCAAAAAAGCAACCCAAAACAAATAGCAACTTTGTGTGGTATAACCAATTACTGTTCAAAATGCATGTCCCATTATCCCATTTATTTGTTTTGTCACATAAACTTATAGAAAGTATGCTGTTTTGAACATTCAAAATTTACTTATTTTTCTTAGATTAAAATTGTATTGTTATAAAGTGATTATTATTCAGATTTTAAAGTTGATATTAAAATACTTCAGTATTTGTAAATGTATTAATAAAAGAAAAAAATCTTACCTTCCCTTCTTTCTTAAATTTGCAGTTGATTAAGTTCACTCTTCAAAGTAATTCTTAAAACATGTATATCAGATACCCATTTGTGGAGTTCATTAAAGAGTGCTGAGATTAATATCTTTAAGTGTGCGACATAAAACCAAGAGGTAAAATTTATTTGTTAAATGAATTTTCACCATTTGTTTGAAAAGGAAAAAGATGCAGTGGGTGGCTTCTTATGGAACTTAAGCCCCTTAAATGATGAGCAGAATTAGTATTTTTATTTACTACCAATTTTTTTTTTATTTCATAAATTATTTAATAGTGAAGTGTTATCACAACAAAGTTATGCAGTGATGTATTCTATGTGTTTAGGCAAATCAGCTATATAAAGCATGTAGCATATGACATCGGGTTTAGCAAGACTTTGCTAGAAGAAGGGAAAGAGTGAAAAATGACTTACATAAAGGTAGACCTTTAAAATACAATACAGGGATGATATTTCTGGCACTTTTAGGGACATATTAAAGCAATATAGGCACTTCTGAAGAACCTTTCAAGAAGTGGCTTTTCAGAAATGAGTGCAGTGCTAAATAATGTAATTGTGTATGGAGGAGGATACTTGTACAGCAACATGTGTGAGTAATGTGAATTAAATGCTGTTTGTCAATACTGTTCCAGTGTTCAGAAAGCTTGTGGGGAATCCTCATAAGGTAGTTAATTCTGTTTGAAATGATAAAACACACTGTCATTTAATCACCTCTGAAATAACATCAGTTTAAACACATACATTTACTGTCTGACTTTTCTGAAAACTTTAGAAAAATTATTTAGTATCAGTCACGGACTGACTATCTCATCATTTTGCATAGTTTAAATAGTCTTAAATGCAGAATAAAAAAATGAGAAGCATGATGAATAAAATAGTTGTAGCTAGACATGTATCTGTGAGAAAATACAAGCTATTGAGAAAACATCAGCTTCTTTGCTCAGATGCCCTTTACTCAGAATGTGACATCATATCATATAATTAAAAGGTGCTTCGATTCTTTTTGCACAGGGACACAAACTGTATTGTCTCAGAGAATGTGACATCATACTTCTCTTCTATTACACTAGTTCTGTCTGCAGCCAAATTTAAGTATTGCAAGTTTTACACAGGGAATATGTTTTTTTGAGCAGAAGGCTATTATTCTGTCCTATTACTCTCTTATCAACCCTTGTAGATGAATATGCCTGTAAATATCCTTAAAATTGTCCTGTCTGCTCATATAATTTGAAATTTTGCATTGAAAAAGCATTTATTTTGAATAGTTATTTGCTCAAAAGATATGTGGTGAACATAATAGAATTTAGTATTTAAGAAAGTGAACATGAATGTGTAGGTCTCTATTTCTTTTTGTGCTTACAAATCATTTATTTCCGGACTTTTTTATTAATAATGTATAGAATTGAACTGCTTTATATTTTTTGGAAGAGCATATTCAGTTTTATGTTTAAATATTGCTTCATGCAACTTTCTATAAATTTCTTTACTCCTAAAATTGCTAAAGAAAAATGTAAAGGAAATCAGACTAGAGTAAAAAAATTATTAATTAATAAAGTATTGAACTTTCCAATTTGGAATACTGTTTTTAAAAAACTTCTGATTAATTCAAATTCCACTTACTAATTTTTTCTTTATATTTTCCTCTGTAAGTTAATAATAAATAAAATGCAGATTTTCCCAAATTATGTAACTTCAACAGAATTGAAAATCCTTTATAAATTTTCCGTGGTATTAAAGTGTGTGCTAGACCCTATTTATAATATGTATATGGGGTTCAAGTACATATAATTGTGCATGCATGTGTGCTTGGTATGAGAGAGAGAGAGAAAAATGTTTTCAAAATTTGCTCATTAAATTACAATTAATTCTGATCAAAGTTTAAAACTAAGTAACCACATAGAAATTATTTAATTCTTTAAAATTATGGTTATCTCTTCCCTCTCTTTTTTAAAAATATTTTGAATAAATCTTTTTGAGATGTTAAGTATTTTCTGTTTGCAGATTTTAATTCTTCAAAATTATGATTTTATCTCTCTCTTTCTTATATATATATATATATATATATTGAATAAATTTTTTGAGATGTTAAGTATTTTCTGTTTGCTGATTTTCTGTTTTGGCAAAATAGAAAGCGTATTTACAGTAGTTATTACTGTGTGACAGTAGTTTTTGTTTCAAACTTTTTGCTTTAGCAATTCAGTGAAATAAATGTTCAGCAATGTCTTGAATAATTTTATTTATTAAATAAGTACATGAGTGGCCATGTAGTGCTAATTTATGGTGAAATAGTATAGTAACAGAACTTTTTCTGCAAACCAAAATGAAATTGCTCTTTTCTTTTAATTTTTTTTAATAGTAAATTTTTTGAAGTGTCAGATTGTAGTCTTAATATAAATCAAAACTATAGTATTTTATAATATGGCAAAAATATCCTTTGCTCTAATTTAGTTTAAATACCATGCTGAATAGCAATGTGAAAATGAAAACCTAAATGCAAGTGAAAGAACTTCATTGCACGAAATTCATTCTAACCCAGATATTATCATTTCAAAGGCTGACAAAGGTGGCCAGATAGTCATCATGGACAAAAACACTTACATTGATGGTGTCACTAAACTCTTAAATGAAGGACCATATATTCCGATCCCAAAAGACCCTTCACCTTCGGACCTCTCAAAAATAAAAACTGAGATCAAATCTTCACAAATCCTTCTGACCCATTCTTTGTTCTATTAGAATAACATTTAATGATTAAGAAATGCATTGTCCATTTCAGTGTAATAAATATGGGACAACTATTTTTATTACATCTAATCTTATTGTTCTATTTCAAATCTTGTTTTCTTTTTAGTGAAAGTTAAAACATATTTTGAGGCTCTATTGCAAGAAGATAGTGGAACAAACAGCCCAGTGCCAAGAGAAACTTTAGAACATGTGATGGTTATGGGTTCTTACTGCAATCTAGTTGATAAAATTGACAATGCATCTTGTTCTGTGGGAAAAGATGGCAAATTTCAGTTATTTATATGTTTTGCTGCCAGGTATGTATATCTTTCTCTTTTTCTCTCTTAAGCACCATCTACACAAGGAAACATATCTCCAAATAAGTATCTCTGGCTGGGAATCATGATCATTGAGCATGATGGGATACATTGTCAGGGACAGCCAATGAAATTGTGCATGAAAATCACATGCCCAAAAAGCTGTGGTTGCTACTTCCAGGTTTAGCTTACCAAATAATATATTACATGAATCATATGGAGTTCTTGTTATCATCTTAATGAACTTAAATTGTATGTGACGTGATATTTCTTTTGGATCGCGGTTGCCAATTGATTTCTTTATAGATGGAATGTTTTTTAACCTTTGCTAAACTAATTTTCTGTTTTGTTAGCTGTAGAGTGAGGTCTCTTTGTATCTCATTTGTTAGCATTAACAAAATCTGCTGGAATATTTTTACCTGTATAAAGGCATTATGTTGTTATGTTCCAAGAAGTCTAACAAACAAGAAAAGCTTAATTTATTGTCTTTTTGCATTTAATTGTATTTCCAATTTTCTACTGGTAATGATTTTTCAACTTTTGCGTCAAGTTCAACGAGCTCAGTTTTTTGACACATATACCAAAGTGTTCAAATTTTCTGTGAGCCAGCAAATTGCGACTTCGAATCCAACTGGGCTATTTTGGGATTTTTTTACACTGAAAATAAATGTTTTCTTGTTTTATTAATTGTATAATTAACAGAATTCTTTTAATATAAAAATAAAATTTTTACATGTAACATATAATTTTATGTTTTTTTTATTATTATACATAAAATGTTATTATTTACATTATTTTATTACATATAAAATTTTATATCAGTTAATTAGTTACGTAATAATTTTAATTTTATAAACATATTATATTTTTACACATATTTTTAAAGTCCCTCCTCTTTCACTCTTTTCTTTAATGTTTCACAATATCTCTCGCTATCACCACATTCGAGGTAATCCGCACCTTCCCTGTCCAGAAAACGGTTGCCATGATCTTTCTTGATGACAATATTTGCACAATTTCCTTGGTTTTCTGGGAGAACTTGTGTGGCTCTACTCTTTAGACTTGTTTTGTCTCACAAGTCACAAACTTTACCCAAGTCTCATCTCTTGTTGCGACACAATTAAAAAGTGATTCACCATGTTTGTGGTACATTTCGAGAAATGTCAAAGCTGCTTTTTGTGGTCATCTGATGAGTTTCGGTACCCATCTGGCACAAAACTTTTGATAGCCTAGATCTTGCGTCACAAGACCAAACAACAGAGTTTTTGAAATTTGAGGAAACTGTAGAATCTTTTCATCGATTTTCTCTACCAGTTCAGCATTAACAATGCTCTGCTGGGCACTTTGCACTTCCTTGTGAAATTGTGCAGCAATTTTTAAATATGATGCACCATTGTCTCACTTCGACTTCTCATTACCTCTCTTCCATACACTGTACAAAATTACTGATAAATTTCAACTGGTCTCAGTTTTTTGTGACGAAACATCTAATCATTGATACCACTTCACAATTGGTGGGATTTTCTATTGCCACACACATTTTAAATATTCACAGTGAACAAAGCAGAGACAACACTTATTACCAACAATTACTGCCGAATGCATAAGGATTCAGTAGACACTTCGACACCAAAATTGGATGGACTCTGTACCATGACACTTCCAGTCTTCTAACCATTTTCTGTGTGCGAAAGAATTATTAAATCTTTTTCTGGAATGAAAAAATTTTAGTGCAGCAGTAGATCTTGTCATGTTCCAACCAAATTTTTTATTCCCTGATTCCTCTTACCAAAATTGTTCTCTGAGGTTAATGTTCTAAGAGAATTCAAGCTATCTAAAATAGTGTAATGGTCAGTACCAAATAGATACCAAAAGGAGCATTCTCCCAGTGCTTCAAGAAATACAAGAGGTACTAGCAAATGTATATGTTCCATAAAATGTTCTTTTAAATGTGACTAGATAATAATTTTTTACATTTCAAGTATTAACTACACATATTTTCCACTTTTTTTTAATATATATATATATATATATATATATATACGTGAGGGTATATTCTTGTTAGAGAGAAAATTCATGAGAGTTTTCTTCCACACTGTTTAATCATAGATACAAATTGCTTACTTCTGTGTAAAATATTTATTAATTTATTTATAATAAAATCATTTTTATGTATACTATAGGGAGCACCTGCTGCATCGCATGTTGCTACATATTGCATCCACCCCGGTCACCTCTAGCATGTACGAAGAGCAATCCTTTCTTCGTGATCCCAACCTTGTCACATTTTTGGTACAAATTCTTGAGTCTTTGTCTGAATTCACAATTACATTAGAAGCATCACTTACTAAAGGCATTGAAAGTTGAATTAGTCCAAACCAGCATGCCTGGAAGTCCACAACATGCTCATCAGCATCCATTTTGTGTTCTTGATGCATTTGCTCATTATGTAGAATACAAGTCATCTTCCAAATGCATTTTAATGATGTTTTTTAAACTAGTGTTTTGTACCAAATACTTGAGTGAATGGGAAAATGTGAGTATAATGAAAATAACTATATATTAAGGCTTGCTACATCTATTTTTCAATTATATTTATCAATCAATTAGATCTATTAGTTTTCCAAGAAATTTAAAACTCTGCAGTTTTAGTTTTTAGAAGTGTATTTCACACCATTCCTCCCTTTTTTTTAATAATAAAAGTGTATTAGACATTAAAGCAAAGTTTTAGATAGTTATCCTTTTTTGAGTATAATATACATATTAACAAAAATGCTATAAATGCTTGATTTGGAAATATTTATGAATTTGTAATATTTGTATGAATGCATATTTTATTAAAAATTAAAATGCAGTATATTCCAGGTTTTTAGAAATAGAGGAAAATATGTGAGATGACAAATGTAATCTCTTACTTAGTTTTTATCTTGTATTCTTATTTTTGACACCTTTATTTTTTCATCTTTTCTAGTTCTTGAGAATAAGGTGTAAAAAAAGTAATTTCCTTCATCACCTGATTGAAAACTTTCCGTCCTTAATTTATCTGTACACAGAGTGTATAGTTATGTACAAAATTTATACAAGATCTGACTCTATCTTAATTTATTAAATATGTTATGCATACTGCAGTTTTTTCAGAAGCAAGTGTACTGATATCAAATATATTCAATAAAACTATCACAACCCTGTGTCTAATGTGTGTCTGACAATATATATTATGAAGCCATTATTATCTCCTTTAGTAAACATTACCACTGGTGATGTTTAATTTATTTCATAATGCTTTTGGTTGTATAATAGAAACTTTATTATCCTATTAGTACAAGTTTGTATGTATTTTTGTATTATATGTTTATGTATGTATATAAGTAATTTTTTGTTGTGAATTGATGTTTTAAATATCTTAAAGTACCTTTTTAAATAAACTACATTTTGATGCCTATATCTCACTAAATGATGTACAATACATTAATCAAATTGCTAAAATTTGTTGAAGTTTTTTGAATGAGTTCTTTATTATTTACATGACTTATCACTAACTGATGTAATTATAAAAACATTAAGGTGATTTGTAACATTTGGTGAAATATGTCAAAATTATAAAATATTATCTTAAAAGTTCCACTCATATCTCTGTATCAGAAAAAATGTGTATTATATTTTCATATGTTAATTATTATCCTTCCAAAAACAACTCTTTGCATTTTGATTGACAGTTCTGTTATATTTGAGTATCGTATGAATCTATAAAAACTGTGCGTTAGTTTAAGTATTCAAATGTTCTTAGCTTTTTTAACTGACTGAACCCCTTCCCCTAATAAATGTGAAATTTCCTTCTTAAATTATATTTCTGGTTTTTTACATTTCCTATCAATAATAAATGTTAACTTTGTGAATAATCTTTAAATATCATAATTTTAAATTTCTTGGATTTGTATGATATTGATTAATAATGTATAAATGCTTACTATAAATTTATATGGCATTGAGTAGTAAAATTTAATGTATTCTGATTATCAAGCACAGTAATGTCAAACCCTTCAAAATCACAAAATTATTTTCTCTCTGTATAAAAATTTCAAAAAAGTATCCTAATATCTTTGTGCCGCTGCAAATTCTGTCATTTCTAAAACTATTTCCCGGCTGGATAATCTTGTTTCTGTTATACTCAAAAGGAAATATTGTGATATGTAATACATGTGCATATGTATTTGTGTTGAGATGTAATATATTGTATTTGACATTATGTAAAATACTACTACTTAAGTTAGCCTTTGTTATTCACATGTAAAAACACTGTATATAAGGAATGTTTAGTTTAATTAAATTTCTTTTATAAACCAGACAAAATAAAATTGTAAATTTATTTATAAACTTGTTGTGCTTTATTTATTAGCCATTTGAAATGTTCTTAAGGCATTATGTTAAAATTATATTTCAATCTTATTCTGTTTTAAAATATTAGATGAAGTTAATATTTAAAGAAAATTTGTACATATTGGCATTCTTGAAGTTCTTGTATTTCTCAATTTTTATATACTCTTGTGCTCAGAAACCTTGTGGAAAAGTGATGTTAAAGGCATAAAACTTGCAATACTTTAATTTCACTGCCAAACAGCATTAACCCCTTCCCTTGCCATTTACCTCGGCAAAACTTGGGCCCAAGTATTATGGGTCAATGTGTGGTAAACAAGCCAGATTGATGCTTGAGAACAGTCACAATACGAGCCGAAATGTAAATGCCTGTGTTATAGTATAGTCAGTTTTGCATGATACTGCTGGCATGGAAGTAAACTTTAATCCTTCTGCCTTTCATAGATGTTAATGTTCACGAGCCCGGCTCATGATGTTTATGTTTGGCCCAGCTTTCTTTTCACGAACCTGGCTTGTGATGTTTATGTTTGGCCCGGCTTTCTGTTCATGAGCTTGGCTCATGATGCTTATGTTCGGGACAAATATCCTTCATGAGTCAAACTCATTAAAGCACGGGAAATGGTTAACATACTCTTTACAAAAAAAAAAAAAAAAAAATGTATGAAGTGGTTTCATTCAAAACACCCACCAGCAGCCAAATGGTAAAACTGCTAATCATTGATAGTTCAGCAAGCTTCAAGTCTGGGCAAGTCTTCAAGGAAATTTCTGTGGTTTACCCTATATGTAATACAAGTTACTTTCCTGTAAGAAAGTCATATCGTAAAGCTATTCTCCCCTGCTGGCAGATAAACCTCGTATGCTTTTCCATAATTTAATTCAATTTAATCATTCAAGCCACTAATCTATGTTGAAATGCAGATGGATGATGTAATCCCATTTTGAGTAAAAAAAAAAAAGAAAATTGGGTTGTTTTAGATCGTCATGCCTTTCAAGCTATCCAAAATTACAGAATGGCTAGTTTATAAACAGCAAGACTCTTCTGATGCTTCTAAAAATTTCAAAAGAACTTAGGCAAGAATGTCTGTTTTCATGAATGTTACTTCAAAGGTAAGGAGGCTGTGATATTTTATATTTCATATAGAACTGTCCTACATGCATTTTCTACAAACTTACTGAACATGATAATATTGTGTAATATTCAACATCAAAATTTGTAAGTTTATAAAATTTTAACAGATGGTTCAAATATTTTCCCAACCTTTTAGTTAAATTAAATACAACTCTGTGATGTTCAGAATTTCTTATTTTTGCGAAGGATTTAAATCGGACATTACCAGCATGAGCTAATTTTTTTTAACCATAATAAAAAGATCTTTCAGAATTATTTATTATTGGCGATCTCTTAACAGTTTTCTTAACTGTATGATTTACCTGGCTGTGAAGTAAATTTGTAGAAACTAAAGGCATTTATCTGTAATGAAAACTTCAGCAAATGATGGCCTGTATTTATCACTGACTTTAACATCTGGGACTGGATTACTGTGTATTGTAAGAGTAGTATAATGGTTTGGATATCATTGAAGGCATATGTTATCAACATAAAGAAGTAATTGCAGTCAATGCTGAATTTAATATTCCTTTTTATAACTGATAAACACTTTAAAGCCAACACAAATAAATTGACACAATAAAGGCCTGTTCTAAAATTTTTTAAATTATTGAAAACAACAGCAAGCTGGTAATAGTAAAGGGGAAAAGTAAATGTGACATATTTCAGGATGAAAGCTTACTTTGAAAGCATTTGAGTTAGTTCTAAAATTTTCTATTGGCTGTTAAAAGTTTTGATGTTAACTGTTTGAGTTTCAGTTTACAGAGAAATATCCAAATTAAGATAGAGAGTTGAGTAACTACTGCAGAATTAGTACCTTGATTTTATATATTTTTTATCTTACATTTGTTTCTAAGATTATATATTTCAGTACAAGTAATTTTGTAATAATAATATGTTGAACCTGTTGTGAATTAATGAGATAGTATATGTTGAGCTTATTGCGCCAAAAGAAATTCATTACTTAAGCCTTGTAACTCATCAAATGCGGATGCATGTCTTGCTGCGTCAGAAAATTCATGAGAGAGCACAAATCTAATTATTAAATATATTAATATCAGAAGAGTTGAATCATGCAACTCTTTGTAACGGGCGCTAATTCTTGAAGTGTCAATTGCTAATATGGCAAAGTTTATGTATCGCTAACCAACCGTTGTTCGGTATTGGCTTCTGTGCAGTGTCAAAAGAAACTTGTTGGTTTAGCCTTGTAACTCAAGTGCAGGCACGTATCTTGCTGCGTTAGAAAATGTAACTCTTCTGAGAGAGCACAAATCTTGTAGCGGCATTATTTAATATGTCAGTACTAGTAGAGTTTAATCATGCGAACTCTTTGTAACGGATGCTAATTCTTGAAGCGTCATTTGATATGTCAGAGTTTATGTATCACTAACTACTAACCAACCATTGATCAGTGTTGGCTTTTGTCCAAATGTAATCCGTCTCCTGTGTTGTTGTTTTATCATCGTAATAAATGTCATATGGGAACTCTGCAAATTTCATGAAATAAGAACAACACACAGACCATATGCAACCACCCCTCTGGTAACGATGAGGTAATAAATTCATGATCCGTCCTTGTTTGAAGCCACTACAGTGAGGAATTCTTGCCATAATGTGGTCGGTAAGATTTTGAATTATTTTATTTATTAGTATCGATTTGTGAAACGAACCATGACGGATGATCTAGGAAAAGCAAAAAAGAAACATTCTATTGCACTTGTAAAGTTACCTTACTTCTAAAAAAAACTCGAGAAATTATTCTCGGCAGAATTAAACGAATAACATCTAGAAAATTTAAACTCGTCACATGAGCTCTTAATTGAATATCACGAGGAACTTAAAACTCTTGACTCAAAGATCGATGCTGTTTAATCACTGATGAAAAAGAATATGATAATGAGCTACTCACATGTGAAAAATGTTGCCAAAAATATCCTAACTTTTAAAACTAGGAATTGTTAATAAACAAAATTAATAAAGTTGTTAAAAGAAATGTACTTTCAGTTATAGCAGCACTCTGAACGACAATAATGTTGGTGCAAGTAGTGCATCAATAAAGTTGCCTAAATTGAATTTTAGAAAAATTTGCTGCTGAACTTAGTAAATGGTATGAATTTATTAATTCATATGATACTGCAATTTACTCCAATCCGGTTTTATTCAAAATGGAAAAGTTTATATATTTGAAAAGCTTATTAGATGGTTCCACATATGTTTGTGTAGCTGCTTATAATTTATCTGAAGAAAATTATGTGTATTAAAAGTTTAGAAGAGAAGGTTTAGTCATATAGATATTATTATATCAAATTTATGCAAATGCTCTTACAGTTAAAACCAGGTAAAAGTTCTTATGTTTTTGATTTAAGAAAGCTCTATGATCAGTCCAGAGTCGGAGCTAGAGTTTTCAGCGCCCAGGGACAACTGAAGATTTCCCCACCCCTACTGCTTGCCAAGGATGGAAAACGGTGGCTTGGCAAATGCGGTCGAGAGCAGGAGACTGACGTTAATTACGGAAGGGGAAAGTAAACGGCTGTGTCAGGGATCATAAGGGGTGATATATTTAAAAAAAAGTGTTTTTAGGTCTCATTCAGTATCAGTATATCAGAAATAAATGATGCACATGGTATCAGAATGGAGACAAATTACATAAGATACGAAAAGTTATATTTATTTGTTTATTAACATTTCATTATTACATTGTTTTCGTTCAGGAATTTCCTTCCACCCCCCCCCCTCTGAGCAATACAAACAGGTACATGTAAGTCGGCTGAAAAGCACTGCTATAAACAAATAATCCGACTCAATTCCAGTTGAACAGCGCTTATTAATACTAATTGTTTACGGAAAGCATCCTAGTTTTTGAAAAGCTTCGTATCATCTAACATAAAATTAATTAATTAATCATCTTAAGAATGATTTTGTGTTGAATATGGCAAAACATATGAGGGTTAGCTAGGCATGATTTCATGAAGAATTTTCTAAGGAAAATGGGCTCATATTTACATACCTTAAGATTATAAGTATTGATTAACATTTCCTATAACTACTTCTAATTGAGGCTTTCTAAGAGCAACCCCCTTAATTTTGACTAGCAGCTTTTAATTTTAGACTAAAATATGAGCATAGAATCTACCTTTAAACAATGGGATTTGTTTTTAAACACTGTGGCATGAGAGTGCCTAGTAATAATAGTTTTAGCGTCGCTAAGAATCATTTTCTGGATTCTCATATTGATTTTTTTCCAAAAAATATTAAAAGCTGCAGTTGACGAGTATGAGCAATGCATAATACATACATATATAACGTAAACATACCATAAAGAAAAATGAACCCCAACAAAAGCTGATCGACTGCTATTAAATTCTAAAGAGGGGTTTATCAGAGGGAAAAAGGCAATTAAAATTCCATTTAATTGATTTTAATTATTTATTTACTGTATCGATTTATAACTAATGGATTGGAATATTTGAATATGAATTAGCTGAATATTTAAGAAAAATATTATGACTGCGAGAATAGGGAAAAAAAAAAAACATTTTTTGAATATCTGCTTTCTTATAGAATGCAGATGAATTCCTTTTTACTCAACGAAAATCAAAATTTAGTAGCTAATTAATCTGTCCTGTATCGACCACTTTAGTTCAGTGATTCGTATTAATGTGCGCTTTTTTTAAAAAAATTTAAATGCTTCAAGAATAATTAATTAGAAAAAGGCATAATTCTCTTCTTACCCTTAAATTCTTCAATAAAAAAACTGCATTTTCAGCTATAACCAAGTGAAATAATTTTCTAAATATAATTCAAAGCATGAAAAATAAGGTACATAAACAGCTTGGAGATTCTCTTTAAGAAATATGGTGAAGCTTAACAAAAAGTCTACGAAGTGAAGTAA